CACACATTTAACTATGTCGAAATTCACATGCCTCAGTATGCCCTGCATGACGCTCTCGTAAAACTTCACCAACCCTTTCTCATGCTGTTGTGTGTGACCTTTGCGCTTGCGCGGTATGGACACCTCAATTTTGCTACGCACCAGCGTCATGCTAGCCGTAATCAGACAGACATAGGCCAGACCCTCCTGCATTACAATCGCTGCCAAATCGGACGACTGTGTGGGGTCGCAGGCCATTTCGATGCGTTCCAGCGCTATTGTATCCCATTCTGCTTTGCGTATCTCAAATTTTCGATTCAACTCCAAGTCGAGCGTGTGATATGCACCCATCTTAACGTATTGGTTCTCCTCGATGTTGCGTCCCTTTAAGCGCAGCATGCAGGCTTGTGTATCGAAGTCTATGGACTCAACGCTGATCGTAAGTGTGGTGCGTACACGACTACTCGTCGATGAGCCGGTCGCTGACTCATTTTGCACCTTTCGTATGGTTGTGCTCCGCACTTGATCGCCCTCGGCTATCAGATTGTAGGTATGCCACATATCTTCAGGTTCTTCTGGTATCAGGGTGACAGAACCCTGCGCGCCTTTATCGAAATTTCTATTGACCAGCCTCATTTTCTAGGTTTGAAGTTTTAGAAAAATGAAAGGTTTTTAAAAGGTATGAAATAGATATGTTTTATGGTAAAAAATTACAACGCGCACCAGTACTCTACCAGATGGCAAGTTACACAAAAAAGGACATGCGTACTAAATAAAAAAGAGGATCATTAATATCACACACACAATTAAACGAGAATCGCTTTGAAACTTTGAATAACTTTGAACTATAAATAAGTCGTTTTAAATATTTGTTACGGTTTCTGTCCGATTAAAAAGCTGGTTGTTGTTTGTGTTGTTAGTGAGTTTATAAAATATTGCCTTCAATCTCACTGTAAAGCAGGGTATGGATGAGCAGTGACACACTAAAGTTGGGTCTACGTAAGCGGAACGATCCAAATTTATATCTGTCCGAGGACTGTCACTCCAGCATCATTCTCCAAAAACCCTTTGGAAATTTGTATCCTGTTACAACAACAACATGTGAAATGAGCATATGAAGAGATAGTCAGTATCCAACAAGGAAACACGAGCTCTGGGTCTCGTTAGTATTGGTGACAGTCGTCATTCGTCGAGAATTGATGAAGATGTTGATCGTTTCTCGATGAATGCCGTTTAATGTCTGTTTGTCAACGATCCCGCTAAGCGTGGCCACTAAGATCAATGAGATTTCCCCTGTTATTCATAGAGGGGTGTTTTCCCACTTCAGTTTCTGAAATCACAAATTATGGAATGTGCTTTCGTTTTTCGCATTTGCATGCACTTCTATATCATAAAGTTTCTGTCTAGACTACACCTATCAATTTTGAAGACAAGAGTTAGAAATATAATTCAGTCTGCGAGTGCCCCGCAATCCAGAGAAAACGCATCAAATAGAGGCACTCCAGGGTAACAGTTCTTCGGAGAGATTAAGCCGAAATTGTGCTGACTATAAGTAAGCAATCAAAAGTAATAAGTAAGCAATCAAAAGTAATAATAGCAATCAATATATAATATTAATCCATATCACGGCAAAATTTTGAGATATTTAGGAGGAAGTTGTAGAGCTGTGAAAGTAAAAGTTTCGTCGATTATGACCTTCTGCACAGGCCAAATATGACGGTACATATTCTCCTTATCAAGCTTATTAATTGTATGATGATGAAATATCCAAAAACGTAAATTTTGAATTACTTTTCTATATTATTAATCGCGCGATATATGTATATATTGAATAGTATTTCTCAGACGTAAATAATTGGAAATTTTTTAGAATAGTCTTATGTGGATTTCTTACGCAGGCATTCATACTTAGTATGTACATATATATGTATGTACTTATGTACAATGCACACAAACTTAGGTAAAACATTCAACAACCCAATAATTCGATAAGCCGTACTCCCTAAGCTGACGCAAAAGCTGGTATTCTTCACAAAAATGTCGATGCAGATGACAATGATACATATATGAATGATACTATATAAGCAGCTATAATTATTGGCTGGCAGGGATCAAGGTACTTTGCAAAACAGCATTATAGAGCTTATCAGTCTGAGCACTCAGAGCAGACGGCACTCAATGTAAACTTTATTGTCACCCACAAAAATCATGGTACCTATATGTATATATACATATGTATGTACATATATGGGCATATGCATGCACATATGTATGTATGTAAATTTTACATATGTAAGTATACAGCAGAGCTTTCAAATTGGAGTCTGCGTGTGACGACGCAGTTTTATGAACTTACGGAAGTTGTGTAACTGAAAAATTTTATAAAATCGCCCCAATAGTCAGCTAAACTTTAGATGGTAAATATTTTGGCCTGGAGAACGCTTCTAATGACAATAAAAATATTTAGTAGCCAAAATATAAAAGTTCAGATTCCTCTATGGAATCTCAAAAAATAAAAATAAATTTTTTTTTCATCTAATACTCAAAATCGATACTACTATATTTGAAGATATCACATATAAATTGTGACTCCAATCGGGATTTGTATGTCATATCTTCGACGGCAGTAGATTCAAGTGAAAGGTTGAATAACCTTTATGATGGTCTGGTACGATTATAATTAAACCAAGTTCATACATATGCCACTGTATTATTCTTTCAATTTTTCATAGCTAATTTTTTGCCAGTGTAAAAATTGCTGTATAACTTTTAAAACGAGCAGGTTTATTTTTAAATAAAGAAGCTTAAAAGCTTTACAGCACCAAAAGTTTCATACTTCGGAGAAGAATATTTTATTCGCACTTACATTCAGTGTTGCCACGGACAATTTTTTTTTCCTACCAAAACCAACCAAACCCTACCAAAAATTTTGTTCGAGTTTTTAATATCTTTTTCAATGCCAAGTTTATTAAAAATGTAGATAACATAACATTTAGTTAAACTAAACCAGAGCTAGTAAAATAAAAACAAATAAGCTTAGTGTCAGGGACAAAGAATACCTTTCCTTTTTTGTTATTGTTGTTTCCGAAGAAAAAATACACTGAAGATGGCACAACGCCGAAACCGATTTGTCTCCAAACCAAATTTGACAAGGGAAATTCAACGGAAATTCAACCCAAAATACTTCTAAGAATATTTATGTTCCAAATTTTGGATGGACAGGACAATCGTTCCCCAAGGTTGTTGTTGTTGTTGCTGTAGCGGCTACTAAACCCCGCTCGGGTCGGTTCATCCGTCAACGTTGTCATCCGTTTCAGCTAAGGGGAAGCCCAGGAAGTCCGCGACTTCCGATAGGGTCTGTCCTTAAGCTAACGGGTCCACTGATTTGCATCAGTCTGCTGTTCGTGATACGTAGGGTTTCCTCTAGCAGCCGACCGAAGGCTCCGGACCATACAAGCGCATTTGGGCTGCATGCTTTGAGAGACCGGAACCCACCACATCGTTACGCTATTGTGGTTCAAAAGAGTTTTACAGCTGCCCACAAGCCTTAATCCTGTTTAAAAGAGTGTAAGGCCTTTAAGGTTGCATGTCTATCCGGCATAATGTATATGATGGCCGAAGAAATTCGCGAACACAGACTTCTATTGCGAAGATTTCCGCCTGGTATATTATGAGACTTTCTTAGTATCTTGGTCCATGTACGTCTGCCAAATTATTTCCGTCGTCCATACTCGATCCATCGGTATATAGTTATGATCGCTTCACAGCAGTTCTTTTTAGGAATTCTGATCTTGTAGAGTTTGTAGTAGGATAACTCGGGATCATCCAGGAATAGCTTGAGAACCTCCAAACGACCCCGAAGATCTCTACTTTTCATTCTGATTGTATTGAATTGCCGTGGGGCGCTTCAGCAGGCCTCCTTTTCAATCAGAATAGACAAGGAAGAAATGCCTGTAATGGCCTCAAGAGCATCCGTTGGCCAGGTACGCGTAACTCCTGTGATGGCTACGCGAACCAGTCGGTGCAGATGCTCAAGCTGGCACCCGCGTTTACATGCCACATATGTAAACTAAAAGAACTCAAAACGCTTATCAGAATTATCTCAAACGCGTAAACACATCAACAAATATACAAAAAGACTGTAGCGGCAACAAGGGCAGAGCTGAGCACATGGATGGCGCTTGCTAGAACGCCCGTGCAACAAAAACAAAACGCACCACACAAGCAAACGCACATATGTACAAATTCCTATGTACGGCAGAGGCAAATTATCTGAAAGAAAAAAATGCACGGGCAACAACTGAAATTTCACATATCTTCGCACAATACGCTATTCACATACAAGCCACGATCGACAATCGAAAAGCTAAACTTCTTAAAACTGGCGCTTGTTTCTTTTTGTTTAAACTAATAAAATTTTCTGCTCACCTTTTCGCTGGTTTTATATTTTTGCAAAATGTTCTTGTCAACAAAACTGACAGCTAGCACTACACCGAATGTCAAACTCAGAATAGAAGACAGCGAGTGCTGCCATATGGACGGATTTTTATTTGAGTGTACTAAAAATCGATAAGCTTGCTCGTTATCGAAAAAATTAAACATTATTTGGATCAAAGAGCGTAAATGTATAAGAAGCGACAACTCGTTACTTTGAAAATGTGCCGCGACGATTTTGACCAAAGAACGTAATTAACGTATTATGTAAATAATATTACGTTCTTTGGTAAACTGCAATCAGCTGTTCGATATTTATCCAATTTTAAATACGCCCGCTGCCGCTACAATTTATTTTTTTATAGGAAACAAACCACGAATGAGCAGAAACATGGCTTTCTATACTAACATAAGAAAGATGAAAAGGACATTCACGGTTGATCAAATTACCGAGTACCAACTAGCAGGTGTGAAGACCCTTATTGTTATTTTACTTTAAAGCAGGGACGGTAATCATTATGAGTAAAATAATTTAAGTCAGCATTCATTCATTATTTTATGATTTTTTTCGCTAAAAAATAATTATTATTATTGATTTTTATTTTTTCGCTCAACGAGCATGATTATTATTTTTTTTTTTGTTTAACAAATATAATGATCATTTAATGATTTTTATTTTTTCGCTCAACGAGCATGATTATTATTTTTTTTTTGTTTAACAAATATAATGATCATTTAATGATTTTTATTTTTTCGCTCAACGAGCATGATTATTATTTTTTTTTTGTTTAACAAATATAATGATCATTTAATGATTTTTATTTTTTCGCTCAACGAGCATGATTATTATTTTTTTTTTGTTTAACAAATATAATGATCATTTAATGATTTTTATTTTTTCGCCCAGCGACAATAATTGTTATTCAGCCTTATTTTTCCACTTAAAGGCCATACAGATGCATCTTACAGAAATTTTGGAACTTATTCCTTTTATTAGGGTGTCGCTACCTCTGAAAAGGATTCGTCGGAAATCATGCTGGTATAGCTTTTGAGTTTTTTGAATGATCATTATTCTCAAGTGAAGAAATAGAACTCAGTCATAATTATTATATTTGAGCGAAAAAAAAATAAAAATCAAGTAATAATAATTACCTTTGAGCGAAAAATCAGAACTCAAATAAGAGTTATTATTTTTAATCTGTATTGGTTAAACTCGAAATATAAAAATCATTGTAAATTGCAGTCGGACGTACGTACACAAATACGTGAGTATATTAAAATTGTTTTACAAAATTTACAACTTGTAGATTTTTTTTGGTTAAATTTTGAAAAATAATGATTATTTTCCGTCCTTGCTTTAAAATTTTTTTCATGACATTTTTTGATTTTTGCGGAACCCGCGT